CTGGTCTGATAAAGAGAACATTTATTTACATGTTTAGGCCAGAATGATTTAACATTTAAATATGATCTTTGAGTGTTGACAGCTCTTCAGATCTCCTCATAACAGCCCACGACATCTTCCATATTCCATGATGTCCGTGGTGGGGGCTCTGCATGGTGCGTACCGGCTGGCCAGCCAGGGTTTGCTCCTTTTTTTTAATTTTTTTATTCTTTTTTTAATGTCTCGTACCATGTCCGTTGGTTGTGCTGTTCTTTTTCCATCTCTTTGCAGGTGATGAAGCAGACTGAAAAGGTTTTATAATTATGTTTTTCCTTTCCTGTTCTACCTACATTGCAGTGTCCATATAACCTGTAAAACTCCCTGCATAATTATAATAAAGCTATTTCTATGCATAAATCAAGCGGAACAGTATGGCGATAGCCGTACTGCTACACTGGTGAAAGCAAAATCTGTTGGGCTCTTTTTGGCATCAAGACAATTATTCTTGTTTGAACATCACCAGACAGGACGCTGTGTAAAACAAAACAAAAATCATGATGTTCACCAACTCCAAAGAGTAGAAATCTGGTCATCAAAAATCCAAATATGTATTCTTCTTCTACGTCCTTGACAGACATCTTTGTCAGGTACACCATCTTCCAGGAATCCATTGTGCATCCGCAGAGAAACACCATCTGAACAGTTTGGTTCCCCTTTACTCCGTCTCCCTGTAGAGAAAACCTGACCAACTGCATTGACAGACCAGCTGACCAGATTATATTGTTACTGTTGTTTCAAGACGATGCAGGTTGGAAATTACTGGAGTCCTTTTATGCATATTGGATTTATTTTCAAATCCTAAACATAACACCAAAAAACTGATTTCTTTATTATATTTCGATAATCGCATCGATGCAGGAAATCTCAAAACATTAATACTGTGATGGAAGTTAAATATTGTACAGCAGGTTACGCAGTGCGCTGAACAATGAGTTCACTGTACTCAAATGGCCTCCACAGTCACCAGAT